CTTAGTGCTGCTGAGGAAGCAGGAGAGGCTCCCCGCCACCACCGCTGTGCTGGCAGCCATCAGCCTGGCTTGTGGCTGAGCAGAGCTCCCCCTGTGGGGGTGCACTGACCACTAGGGGGCAGCTCCTACATCGAGCGTCTGCCCCCTGGTGGTCAGTGTGTGTCATAGTGACCAGTCATTCCCAGTCATTCTGCTGTTAGGGTCAGTTTGCATATTACCCTTTTATTATATAGAATAGAGGCCTGGTGTACGGGTGGGGGCCAACTGGTTTGCCCTGAAGGGTGTCCTGGATCAGGGTGGGGGTCCCGCTGGGGTGCCTGGCCACCCTGGGTGAGGGGCTGATGGCTGTTTGCAGGCTGGTCAAGCCCCCCAGTGGGGACCCTCACCCCATGGGGGTTTGGCCAGCCTAGGTGAGGGGCTGATGGCTATTTTCAGGCTGGCCATAGCCCCTTCAGGGTAGGGGTCCCCGCTGAGGTGCCTGGCCAGCCTGGGTGAGGGGCTGAGGGCCGTTTTCAGGCTGCCCACACCTCCTTCAGGTGGGGGTCCCCACTGGGGTGCCTGGCCAGCCTGGGTGAGGGGCTGATGGCTGTTTTCAGACTGACCAAACCCCCCGGTGACCGAAGCTCCCAGCCTTTCCTTGTTTTGTTTTTTTTTATTCGCTCCAGCTCTGTGGCCATGGTGACTGGAAGCAGGTATCTGGGGTTTATTTACCTTCTATAATTGAAACTTTGTTGCTTTGAGAGGAGGCAGCAGCCGGCCGGGAAGCTTGGCTTCCTCCATCATTGGGGCAACCAAGCCTCCTGCTTGCTCCAGCTCCGTGGCTGCCAGTCGCCATCTTGGTTGGGTTAATTTGCATATAGTTGCTCTGATTGGCTGGTGGGTGTGGCTTAAGGCATAGCAAAGGTATGGTTAATTTGCATGTTTGTCTATTATTAGGTAAGATATATATATATATATATATATATATATATATATATATATATACACACACACTAGTAGCCCGGGTGCACGAAACTCGTGCACTGGGGGTTGGGGGGGGAGAAGGGGCCCCTCAGTCTGGCCTTCACCCCCTCCAATCTGAGACCCCTCAGGGAATGTCCAACTACCTGTTTGTGCCCACACTTTTAACAGATAACAGCTCCATTGTTGTTTCTTTCTATGCTTAAAACCACTGGAATTAGTAGGTATTCAAAGTGTGTATACATTTTTGGGGGGGACACCCTGTATATCTCTTGTCAGTGGGGAAAGAAACCAACAGCAGATTTGGAACCCCCAGACAGGGAACCTTGCTCATTCCCCACATGTGTCCCCACTTCACTTTCCACCTTCGTGGGCAGCAGGAAGAATCAATGTTTTCTCTCATTAATTTGGAAAAGCATGTCCTGTCACCCGTTGCCTGGAGGAGTGCGCTAGGCCCAATGCAAGCGAGGCTCAGTCAGGGCAGCCTTCGCTCATGGGTGCTGGCACCCAAAGTGCACATTCCTCCTCTACAGTCGCCTCGACTATCCCACTGTTTCACTGAGAGGACGGAATTCCTCTCTGCCTCTGGGCTCTTGATCTTGAACACTGACCGAAGGCACCTCAGAGAGGGCCGCCCGCGCCCACCAGGTGTGTCTGTCTGCACCTGCTCCTGCCTCAGCACCTGCATTAACCCCCCAGAGGTGATCTCGTAGCTGCAGTGGGTCCGTGGGAACAGGGCATCACCACTCTGCCCTCTCACTGTCATCTCACAGGCGCCCACTCTCAGCACCCAGAACACCCAGACACTCTCCAAAGGACGTGAACGCATCAGAGGGGATGTGTGCACATCCTGTGGGGGTGTTAGGCATGCTGGTTGATGGAAGTGCGGTGGAGAGGCGGGGGGAACTTGTGCATGCCTTGGTTTGCAACTGTTGCAGGCGTGGGAGGGTGACAGTGTGCTGGGGGATGTTCGCATGCCAGGGGGGTATGTGCACACCGGAGGCCTCTGGCTTTGCAGATCCGCAAACTCCTGTGGTGCGGCCAGGAGGATGTCAGTCTGGCCCTCCACGGTGGCTGTCCCTGAGATCCTGCACCTTCTGGGCCAGGAGGCGGATCTTGCGCAGTCACTCCTGGGCGCTCATGGCTGCCTCCCCGCTGTGAAGCATCACGGATCCGAGTCCTGGGACCGTGCACAGCCTCAAGCGCTGCCCCCCGCCCGGCAGGGTCACAGATCCGTGTCTTGGTCCCGTGGACAGCCTCAAGCACTGACCCCCACCCGGCAGGGTCACAGATTCGGGTCCCGGACTGCAGACAGCCCCCCGTGCTGCCCCCCTGCCCACCAGGTCACGGATCCGGGTCCCGGGACCACGGACAGCCTCAAGCACTGCCCCCCGCCTGGCAGGGTCACAGACCCAAGTCCCGGACTGCAGACAGCCTCCCGCGGTGCCCCCCGCCCGGCAGGGTCACAGATCCGGGTCCCGGACTGCGGACAGCCTCAAGCACTGCCGCCCCACTCACGAGGACATGGATCCAGGTCCCAGACTGCGGACAGCCTCAAGCACTGCCCTCCGCCCGGCAGGGTCACGGATCTGGGTCCCGAGACTGCAGACAGCCTCAAGCACTGCCCTCCGCCCGGCAGGGTCACAGATCCGGGTCCCGGGACCGCGGACAGCCTCAAGCGCTGCCCCCCGCCTGGCAGGATCACAGATCCGGGTCCCGGGACAGCGGACAGCCTCAAGCACTGCTGCCCCACCCGGCAGGGTCACAGATCCGAGTCCTGGACTGCGGACAGCCTCCAGCAGTGCCCCCCATCTGGCAGGGTCACAGATCTGGGTCCTGGGACCGTGGACAGCCTCCCGCGGTGCCCCCCACCTGGCAGGGTCACAGATCTGGGTCCCAGACCGCAGACAGCCTTCCCTGCTGCCGCCTGCCTTCAGTATGCAAATTAGCCACCATCTTGTTGCTTCAGGGTGGGGGTCCCCACTGGGGTGCCTGGCCAGTCTGGGTGAGGGGCTGAGGGCTGTTTTCAGGCTGGCGGGCGACTGAAGCTCCAAACCTCTCCTTTTTTTCTTTCTTTTTATTCTGGCATTTATTTACCTTCTATGGCTGTCACTGGAGCTGAGAGCCGGCTTTCTCTCTGAGGCTCGGCTGCTGAAAGCAGGTTTCTGGCCTTTGTTTACCTTCTGTATTTGAAACTTTGTTGCGATTCCAGCTCTGAGATCCTGGCTGACTGAAAGGAGGTTTCTGGGGTTTTGTTTAGCTTCTATATTTGTTACAATGTTTCAAACTGCAAGCTCAGAGGCCGGCAGCGGCAGGCGGGGAACGTTGGAGTCCTCCATCACTGAAGCAAGCAAGCCTCCTGTTAGCTTTAAGCTGCCTGGCTGCCGGCCGCCATCTTGGCTGGCAGTTAATTTGCATATCTCCCTGATTAGCCAATGGGAAGGGTAGTGGCCGTACAGCTAATTACCATGTTTCTCTTTTATTAGATAGGATATATATATATATATATATATATAGAGAGAGAGAGAGAGAGGGGGGGGGGGGAACATCGACGTGAGAGAGACACATCAATTTGTTGCCTCCTGCTTGTATCCTGACTGGGGCCAGGGATTGAACCTGCAACCAAGGTACATGCCCTTGACCAGGAATGGAACCCGTGACCCTCCAGTCCAAGACCGATGCTTTAACTACTGAGCCAAACCGGCCAGGGCAGATCTCCTTTATTTTTGGCAAAATGTTTTTTAAAGTTTGACTCAATGGCCAAAACTTAAAATCAGGAGATTTGTAAAAAAACTGAGTATACAGTTTCTTTGCAAACAAGTAGGTCTGGCTAAGAAGGGCCTACATTCCCACAGGGAACAAGTTATTGCAGTGGCCAGGGTAGGGCATGCCTCTCCAGCTATCCTCAGTCCCACCCTACTCTTTCACTCATTTATGTTACTGCTCGGTATTGGGGCGGGCGGGACTCTTTGTGACTTGAAAAATCAAAACCAAAAATAAAACACAGACACAAACCAAGGATAAGGAAAGCAGTGGCTGCCCCTGGACGCGCTCCCTGTCTCTTGCCTGCCTCCCGAGGGGACGCCTTCCTTGGATCCTGTTCCCAGCCTCTTTCTCTTCAGAACCTCCTTCTCTCATTGTGCCACCTCTGAATTCATCCCTCGTGCTTCCAAGAGGTGTGGTGCTGGAGTGTCGTTGAGGAAAGCTTACAGACTTCGGGACCACAGACGTGGGTTTGCATCCCAGCTCTGCCTCAATGAGCTTAGTTTCCTTTTCTGTGAAGTGAGGGCTGTACCTCGCCTCATAGACTGGTGTGAGTACCACATGGGTTTGTGTACGAAGCATCAAACAGAAGGTGGGTACTCATATAAGAGTGTTTCTGCTCCTCAAATCAAGATGTGGCTCTTTTTCTGCTTCATGACCTTGAAGAAGCCAACTATTTTATTTATTCCTCATAACTTCCAGTCTTTCCCATCTGTACATTTCAAATATTTTCCTTTTCCCTTTGTAGCCAGACCTCTCTTAGAGACTCCCATCTGAGACTCCTGAATGGCAGGTGAATTTGTTTGGGGAATTCTGTAAGGACGCACACCTTTTATCAAATCTCTACAATCATTGTACATAGTTTTGTGATGGCAAATACTTTAGCTTTTACAGCAGTCTGTTGGAATTCTTTCTAAATACATGCACTTTTCCCCATCTATTTTATCCCTACAGAAATAGAGCCAAGGTCCAAAGCTGGAAATACCTCAACAGGAAAAATTGGTACCGGAAGGGGGACACTTCGCCTGAGGTCAAAAGGTCCTGCCACTGTGGAAGAAGTGGTATGTTATGTTCATTTAGTCCTCATTCTGCTTGGACACGTACGGGCATTTATGGTTATTAGAGCTGAAAAGAAAGGTAAAACCATGAGGTTAAATAAGGTGCCATACATTCCAGTTAAAGCACAGACTTTAATTCATTGCCTACTTACCAATATTAAAATTATCGAAGGATTTAAGAAGGAATATAGAAACTAAGTGTATGCAAAGAGACTGTGATCCAAAGCAATCCTGAGCTTCCTGCAGACAACTTTTTTTTCCTAAAGTCTGTGGACATCTGGACTGGCTCAAAATGTTTAAGATATCAGCCAAAGCTCTGAGAGCCAAGGAAAGTCTCAGAGCCACGTGTAGGAGTAAATATACTTCCGATTTTGGTAATAAAAGATAATATGCATGAATTCCAGTCCCCTCAGGTGAAACATTCTATAGTCATCTTTGTCTGTTCTCTGTCATGTCCCACATCCCTCCCATCAGCAAATCCTGGTGGATCTGCGTCCACAATAGGCCAGAATCCAAAAACAACTCACCACCTCTACTCCCACCACTTGGGTCCAAGGCACCATGTCTTATCGTGAACATTACAATCACCTGGTCAGTCTTCCTGTGTTCACCCTGGCCCTCTTCCCTCTGCGCTCAGCACAGCAGCCAGAATTTTCATTCAAAAACACCAATGAGGTTAAATTTCTTTTCTGTTCAGAACCCTCCATTAGCTTCCCATGTTACTCTGGATAAAAGCCGAATTCCTCCGCATGACTGACATGATCCAACTCTGCATTGCTTCTCTGATCTCATTTCCCTCCACGGTTCCTGTCTTCCTCTCTGTCAGCCACCTGAGTCTCCTTGCTCTCCCCAGACAGGCCAGACGTATGCTGTCACCGCAGGGTCTTTGTACCGCTGTTTCCTCTCCCAGAATGCTTTGTGAGCATGACTCCTGCTCTGGCCTTCTTCAGGTTTCTGCCCACATATCACCTTCTCTGAAAGGATGCTTCTGAGTATCTTGTATAAAGAGCTATTCCTGCCGCCCCTCCCACTGCCTAATTTTTCTTCCTTTACTTTTCTTCAAAGCAGGAAACACAATAGGACTCATTGTCTCCTTGTGTCCTTTTTGTCTATTGTCTGGCTCCTTTGCTCACATGTCTTGTTCACTGTGGTGTCCCAGCACCTAGAATAATAGTACCTGACACAACAAAGGAGCTCAAATCTTTGCTGAATTAATGAATTAACAAATGATTCACTTAAGCTTGAGCAGAGGGAGGGTTTCACTGATTAACTGGGTCAGTAGTGGAGTGAAAAACACCAGAAGTAGAAGAGACAAATGGAAGGAGGAAGGGTGGACCAGGAGGGCAGCAGGGGTGAGGGGCAGGATTCAAAGTGGCAAGTGGCAGGTCAGGCCCACTCACAGCAGCAAAGACAGCGGTGATGTGGCGGTTGTTCTGTGGGCACAGGGGAGATGAGGCAGGTGTCTGAGGCCAGGGGGCTTCCAAAGGCAGGGGCCCAGGCACTGGGCCCGTCTAGTCCCCCTGTGTGCGCTTATTGTCCGAGGATCCCCCAGGTGTTTGAAGAGCAAAAGAGTGAGACAGGTGAGCCATTAGGAGGCTCTTTCTACAGACCAGGATCCCAGAGCTTGTGGGGTGACCATGGTTAGAGTCAGCCATGGGGGTGGCTTGATGGGGCAGATACTCAAGGAACCATGAGGCCAAGATTATCCTTCTGAATGTTTGAGTCACCCAGGGTGTTGTGAGTTTTGGGGAATCTAGGGGGAGATTTTGAGTCAGGTGACTTGGTCCTGAATGTCTGAAAGGATTGATTTGGAGGCAAAGGGCAATGAAGAGATTTGGAGGGTCAAAGGCATTTTGAGAGTGAGATATGATGAAGTATGTGAAAAACAAAAACCAAAATCCAGGGCAGTGACTTCTGGTCATTCCGAGTCTTTACCTTTCCTGTGCCCAGCACACTATGGGGCATATTGCTGAAGTCTATTACATGTGTATTGAATGAATGAACACACCTCAGTGGGAGACAGGAACGTGTAAGAGAATGGAACAATAGTGGGAGGGAGCTCACAGTGAGCAGTTAGGGGGATGAGGCTGGTCTGCACAGGAAGCAGGGGAAGCTCCAGGTCCCTGCAGGAGAAGTGTCTTCTGATAGTTAACATGGCTAATATTTTTGAACACCGGCTTTGTATGAGCTGCTGGAATGAAGAGAAACTGAAGATCCATGTGGGGAGGTAGGAAAGATTTATTGAAAGATAAACGTCTAAAACTCCATTCCTATTCGCACAGCCTATTTCATTAAACAGGGCAATTAAAATAGCTCATAATGGAAGGAAAAAGCTAGTTTGGTGCTAACATTAAATTTATTTTATTTATTTATTTTTAAAAATATATTTTATTGATTTTTTACAAAGAGGAAGGGAGAGGGATAGAGAGTTAGAAACATCGATGAGAGAGAAACATCCATCAGCTGCCTCCTGCACACCCCGCACTGGGGACGTGCCCACAACTAAGGTACATGCCCCTGACCAGAATCGAACCTGGGACCCTTCAGTCAGCAGGCCGATGCTCTATCCACTGAGCCAAACCGGTTTCGGCACTAACATTAAATTTGATACAAATAACTTACGATCTATTTCACATACTAAAGGGTTTATAGCAGTGGTTCTCAACCTGTGGGTCGAGACCCTTTGGGGGTCAAACGACCCTTTCACAGGGGTCACCTAAGACCATCGGAAAACACATCTATAATTACATATTGTTTTTGTGATTAATTACTATGCTTTAATTATGTTCAATTTGTAACAAATGAAAATACATCCTGCATATCAGATATTTACATTACAATTCATAACAGTAGCAAAATTACAGTTATGAAGTAGCAACGAAAATAATTTTATGGTTGGGGGTCACCACAACATGAGGAACTGTATTAAAGGGTCACAGCATTAGGAAGGTTGAGAACCACTGGTTTATAGGATTAAAAAAAATCCCCTCATAACCTAGCACCACTTCTGATGTTAACTAGACTTATTGTGATGATGATTTTGTGAACAATACTCCACCTAATTTATTTAATATATGTTGTGGAGACAGGCATGGTCCAGGTGCTGGTGATAGGATACCAAGATGAACAAAGACTGTGCTTTCCTTTAAAAGGAGAGAGACATGAAAAGAAGTGATTACACACCAGAGCCATAGGGTTAAGGTCCCAAAGCAGGGGCTGATCAGCTGCTGTCAGGGATCGGGGGAGAGGGGAGGTCAGAGAGAGTTCCCTCCAGAAGAAATGATCGGTTCAAGGTGGTGAGAAGAGTGTTCCAGGCATGAAGCAATCATGGGTTTGGGGGCCTTATAGTGTCCATGGGATTGGAGTGTGAGTGCTGGAAGTTCGTGGTGGGGTTGGTGAGGCTGGAGGTATAGGCCTGGGTCAGGATGTCAGGGTCCATGGATCATGGGGGAGCCATTTAGGAAGTATGAGGGGAGCAGCACAATTGTGCATTTTAGAAAAATCCCTTGGTTCTGGGGGATGAGTTGTTGAGCAGGATGGGTTTGAGAGGGAAGATTGTAGGCAGAGAGACAAAAAAGGAAACCCTTGCAAATAAGAAAAGATGGAGAATATTATTCAACCTTAAAAAAAGGAAATCCTGCCATTTGTGACAGCATGGATGAACCCTGAGGGCATTATGCTAAGTGAAATAAATCAGACAAAGAAAAATGCCACATGCTCTCACTTATATGTTGATTCTAAAGAAAAAGAAAACAAAACTAAACTCATAGGCATAGAGAACAGAACGGTGGTTGTTAGAGGCAGTGTGGGGGATGGGCAAAATGGGTAAAGGTGATCAAAAGGAACCAACTTCCAATTATAAATATGTCCTGGGGATGTACTGCACAGCATGGTGACTGTGGTTAATAATACTGTGCTGTATATTTGAAAGTTGCTAAGAGCGTAGATCTTAGAAGTTCTCATCACAAGAAATAAAAAGTTGTAACTATGGGTGGTGATGCATATGAATTAGATTTATTGTGGTGATGATTTTGCAATGCCTACATATATCCCATTATTGTGTTGTACACCGGAAACTAATGTAGTGTTATGTCAAGTATATCTCATTTAAGAAAAGAAAAGAAAATAATAGGAAAGAAAAGGAAAGAAAAGGAAAGAAAAAGGAAGAAAAGGAAAGAAAAGATGAGCTCTGCCCAGGCAATCAGAATGTGAATGGAAGAAAGGGGATGAGCTCAAGAGCTTTTTGGAATAGTGAAATCCTGTGGCTATTTTGTATGAGAAGTTCTGTAATACTTGTTGTAGTCACTCACACAATGGCTGGGTAGATACAAAGGTGAACACCTAAGTTACTTTGCACAGCCTGTTGCTTTACACTGACCATTCAGAAGACACTGTAAAGAAAGCAAGAGTGAGGTATGGTCTGTTATTGTTTTAAAGGCTTAGTGAATATAAATAAAAATATGAGAAAGTTGTAACAATATCCTCAAGGAAATAAAAATAAAATTTTATTGGCAATAAACGTTTTGAGACTACAAAGCAACGTATATTTATGACAATATTAAAAGTATTATGAATCTTTTACAATATAATTGTGAATTTAACACTTGCACTCATAGTTATTTAACATCTTTGGGCATTTATTTTTCAACTATGAAGCCATTTAAAATCAAGTATTGAAATAAACAGCATAGGACAAGACTTTATTAAATATAAAACTAAGATTTAAAAAGAATAATAAAATACAGAGTGGGGCAAATGTAGGCTTACAGTTGTGAGTATGCAAAACAGTTTATTCTTGTATTAATATTTATTAATTACTGGAGGCCCGGTGCACGAATTCGTGCATGGGTGGGGTCCCTAGGCCTGGCCGGCGATTAGGGCTGATTGGGGCCATCTTGCCCTGTCCCAATCAAGGTCAGGCCGATTGGGGCCTGCCGGCCGGGGGGAGAGATAGGGGAAGGGACTGCAGGAGGTTGGCCAGCCAGCTGTGTGGAGGGACCAGCTGGGGGGAGGGACCGCAGGAGGTTGGTCAGCCAGCCCTGATTGGGCGATAGGGCTAGTCGGCTCGGGGGAGGGTCTGGGTGGGGGAGGGACTGTGGGAGGTTGGTCGGCCATGGGAGGTTGGCTGTGGGAGCGCACTGCCACCAGGGGGCAGCTCCTGCATTGAGCATCTTCCCCCTGGTGGTCAGTGCGCGTCATAGCGACTGGTTGACTGGTTGTCCTGGTCATTCGGTCATAACGGTCGCTTAGGCTTTTATATATATAGATTGTATTTTCTATACAAACAAATATAAACCTACTTTCGCCCCACCCTGTATATCCAATCATGTTTTTCACTGAAACTTTTAAAAAACATTGAGTTATATCATTCTATTAGTTTGAGGTGTCCAACATAATGATTTGATATTTGTATATACTGCAATTCACTGAAATTTTGAATAACAGTTTTAGGAAGAACAGAAATGTTTTAGTAACATTAAAACATAAGACAAAAGTTACTTTAAAAGTATTTCATTATGACTTTATCCTTATAAAATTTTTTTAAAATATATTTTTATTGATTTCAGAAAGGAAGGGAGAGTGAGAGAGAGAGAGAGAGAGAGAGAGAGAGAGAGAGAGATAGAAATGTCAATGATGAGAGAGAATCATTGATTGGCTGCATCCTGCACGCCCCTACTGGGGATCGATCCTGCAACCCGGGCATGTGCCCTTAACCTGAATTGAACCCAGGATCTTTCAGTCTGCAGGCCGATGCTCTATCCACTGAGCCAAACTGGTTAGGGCCCTATAAAATTTTTTGTGTGTGTATTTTATAATGTCCATAATAGATTAATATGGTAATACATGTGTATAATTTATAAAACCTGCAAATAACACAATTAAATAAAAGGTAACCAATAAGGGTATGTGTTCAGAAATGTTTTATCTTGGGGTGAGCTGTTAAAAGGTTTGGAGACTCGGCCTGCAGGACAAAGACCAGAGCCCTTTTCATGGCACCCAGGACCCCTTAGGATCTAGTCATATGTCTGCCACTGTGTTTCTCATCACAGTGGACTTTTTGAAGTTCCTGTGACAGGCTATGATCTTTTATCAAACTCTGCGACCTCGAATAGACTTTGCGTAGTTAGTGCCTTCTACATGCAGCACCCTCTCCAGCTTATCTTTGGAAACACAATCCTTGTCACCTTCTTTCTGAAGTCTTCCATGACTCTTAGAGATTTAAATTTATTTCCCCCTGATACCTCTGTACCTTAAATATCATTAAAAATTATCTTTACTATTGTCATATAGCTATTTATTTTTACATTTGTATCCCCTTCTAGATTGTTAGCTACTTGGAGACTGTGTTCTTGGCCTTTCTTTGAATCCATGACACTTAACACTGACACTAAAAATTAGTATTTATTGTAAAGATTTGTATTGAGTTGCAGAGCACATTCTAGATATATTTCCATTCTAATTAGCTGAAATAAACAACCATGAACTGGCTCTACCTCAGATTTCCCCCAATGTGTGCCCTGACATTCAAGAGATTTCATATACAAGTGTAATAGCTTATTTCTCTTTTCTTTGATAAAGCCCTCTGAAAACAATGCTAAGGCAATTGAAAAGGTTGATGATCTTCTTGAGATGTACATGGGAATTCGAGATATTGAATTAGGTAAGATTATACTATTTTAAAAAGTCTTCTATTTTTTAATTTGATGGAACTTAATGCTTATTTGTATCTTTCTTGCATTGATAGTCAATGATACTTTTCAAGATGAAAAGTAATTGTATAGTAATGAAAAGCATAATGAAAATAGAGATAATGAAGAATAATGAAAAGGTCTGGCCTTTACCACTTACCAGCTGGGAAGCCTTAGAGTCAAGTTAACAGTTCTAAACTTTTATTTATAGGTTTACTTTATAGATTTAAAAATATATACGAAAATAATTTTGTAAATGATACATAAACACAGTATTTGACATATTAGCTGCACATCTATTACATTGTATGTTTATTATATTCAAGTTGTGCACATTTATAAGATTAATGAAGCCCTGTGATAAATGAACCTGGTGTATGAATGATAAGGGCAGTTGAGCAGTGAATTTCTGTGTATTTTTTTAAAATATATTTTTATTGATTTCAGAGAGGAAGTGAGAGGGAGAGAGAGACATCAATGATGAGAGAGAATCATTGGTCAGCTGCCTCCTGCAGGCCCCACACCAGGGACTGAGTCTGCAACCCAGGCATGTGCCCTGACCGGGAATCAAACTGTGACCTCCTGGTGGTTCATAGGTCGACGCTTAACCACTGACCAATCCGGCTGGGCAATGCTCTCTGGGTATTTCTTATGTCACCATTAGGATGTCAGAGTCTTGATTTATCAATTAAGACTTTCTCAGTTATAAATAATAAAACAACAAACTGAACTCCAATCGACTTAAGGAAAAAATAAGGTGTTTGTGTGGAGGATGTATTGGTTTTTGTAACTGAAAAGTCCAGAAGTAGATTCTGGCTTCAAGAATGGCTAGATCCAGAGTTCTCATGCTATCATCAGGATGTGATTTCTCTTGTCTCCATTCTGGTTTCATTTTAGGCCCCCATGGTATCCCTTGGCAGCTTCAGGCCCTCCCTCATGAGCTCAAAATGACTGCCAGGCTCCAGCCTCTACATCTTGGTGTCAAACACAATGGGAAAGAGGGAGGGCCTTTGCCAAGTCATTCAAACAAAATGCTCAGGATTGTCTCTGACTGGTTTGATTGGCCCACTTGATCCAGTCACTGAGGCTGGGGGGATGGTTAGGTCTGGGTCACACCTCTCGAGCTGAGAGTAATTTCTGAAATACAAAGGCTGAGATTGTGAAAGCCCTGGTGCCTTCTATGAAGGAAGAAAGAGAAATATTCCCTTAAGAAGAGGAGTTGGCTGCTGGGTGGGGAAAGAGTATATGTGCACTTAGTGGTGGAGTTTGTGCCTGTATGCATCCTTGTGTGTGTGCTTGTGCTTGCATCAAGTACTTAATAAATTGTTTTTTTTAAATAAGTGTTTAAAAAGTTGATTTTAGAGAGAGGAAGGGGAAGGGAAGGGAAGAAGGGAGCTAGGGAGGGAATGAGGAAGGGAAAGAGAGAGAGGGAGAGAGAGAGAGAGAAACATCTGTTGGTTGCCTCCTCCATGCACCCTGACTGCAGGGTTGAACCTGCAACCTGGGTATGTGCCCCAATTGGAAATGGAACTGGTCACTTCTTGGTATATGGCAAGACGCTCTAACCAACTGAGCCACACTGGCCAGGGCTGGTACCATGCTGTTTTGATGACTATGGCCTTGTAATGTAGTTTGATATCAGGTAGCCTGATTCCTCCAACTTTGGAGAACCCCACTTCTAACAGGTGAAAACTTAAAACAGTCCTCAACTTTAAAACTTAATTTTACATATAGGCCTTATTGTTATTTAATATAAATTGGGAATAGTTCAGTAAGTTAGTTTTGCTCCTTTGTTACTAAAAATACATAGTATATAAGGAAGAGCATTGGGCAGTACTACAAGTAATTATAAATGAATTAATCAGTTTTTGAAGAATCAATTTTCTTTCACTCTGACCTATTCAGGGAACTAGATGTTCCTTGCAAATTTCTTATAAATTAATAGAAATCCCTTCATAATTAATCATCTGTAGCAGGTTCCTCCAATGACATGAATAGTCATTATCATTGTACACGATTAGCCATGTGGTCACCAAGGGAGGTAAAGTTCAAAGAAAGTAATTATTTGAAGAATGCAAACATGTTAATTAGGAATTTCTCTCATTCAGATCTAATTACCATGATATGTAAATCACAAATGTGAAACTGCTTCAACAGATGAATTATTTGTATTCCCTGTGTTTCTTAGTTTTCAGAAATGTTAATTCTTTAAAAAATATTTTTATTGATTTTATTTTTATTTTTTAAATATATTTTTTCTTATGATTTCAGAGAGGAAGGAAGAGGGAGAGAGAGATAGAAACATCAATGATGAGAGAGAATCATTGATTGGCTGCCTCTTGCACGCCCCCCACTGGGGATCAAGCCCACAACCCGGGTATGTGCCCTTGACCAGAATCGAACCTGGGACCCATCAGTCTGCAGGTCGACGCTCTATCCACCGAGCCAAACCAGCTAGGGCTATTTTTATTGATTTTAGAGAGAGGAAGGGAGAGAAGTAGAGCGATAGAAACATTGTTGAGAGAGAAACGTTGATAGATGGGCTGCCTCCTGCACGCCTTCCCCTGGGGATCAAGCCGCAACTCAGCATGTGCCCTGACCGGGAATTGAACCAGTGATCTCTTGGTTCATGGGTCGATGCTCAACCACTTAGCCATGCCAGCAGGACTTGAAATGTTAATTCTTAATGAAAATTACACTGATATTATGTTATTCTGGAGATGTTAATGTGAGTTTATACTAAAAAATTTAAAAAGTAATATGGCAATTAAATATCTAAAAACAAAATAGTAACCCCCCCCCCAAAAACACACCCCAAAAAACCAAAACACCAAACCAAACCAAACAAAAACCTCAACACATTCCAAACAAGAACCTCAACACATTGGGATGTATTTACTATTTGAAAATGAAAAATAATTCAAATGAGTTTCTGGACCAAGTAACCCTGAAGATAAAAGTGCTCTGTTTGGTTATAAAGTTAAGTTGTGAACTATGACTTTTCAAATGACCTACTGCCTTGGAATGTTACCCATTGGGAAAAAAAAGGTTCTGGAAGATTGTGAATTAAGACCTTATATAGAAACATTGATGAGAGAGAAACATTAACTTAGTGGGAAATTGTATAATATAAATTTCTTAATGAATATTAAGATGTAGTGTAATTTGTATATAGAACTATAATATTTTCTGGTGATATCAATTTAGGAGTTTGGTGATTATTCTAAGAACTTTGGACTTTTTGGATTTCTAATTTATAAAGAGATCCAGAAATGTGTAGTAAGGAAATCTGAGTGCTAGTTTCTAAGTCATATTTTCCTATAAAGCTTTTTTTTAGCTCTTTTAAAAGTATATGATAATGGTATTTTAATCAAGATAGTGACATTTCTTCCTAGGATGATTTTTCTTTTTTGAGTAACGTTAAAACAATAAATATTATAAAAAGTTATCCTTCTCAGGTAAAGCCAATAAAGTTTTGGAAATAGATTTCATTAAAAGAAACTACATTGGCTCTATTTTGATGTTTGACTCATGTGGATTGTTTGACATGAGTTGACATTATGAAAAGTCTTAGGGAAAATAAGTGTTGAAGACCTTCCATAGAAAGAGATACAGTTACAGATTTAAAGGTTAAATTAACAATGGTGGTAGTTAATCTTTTTTTCTTTTTTTAGTGCTCACCCAAGGATATTTTCCCATTGATTTTTAGAGAGAGTGGAAGAGAGAGGGTAAGACAGAGAGAAATATCAATGTGAGAGAAACACATAGATTGGTTGCCTCCAGAGCCCGGGCCGGAGAGGAGCCTGTAACACAGGTAACGTGCCCTTCACCAGAATTGCACCAGGGACCCTTCTGTCTGCAGGCTGACACTCTACCCACTGAGCCAAACCAGCTAGGGCTGCTGGTGGTTAATCTTTATCTAAATTCTGCCATGTGCCATTTTATTAAAACAGATTCAGAGAAGTTTGGTAACTTGTTCAAAGTCAGCTAACATGTTAAGAGCTGAGATTCGATTCTGACACTTTGATACCAAGATTTTTCACCTGCAGTAATGTTGTATGTCTGAAGTTCTCTTTAAGTATTTAAGAACTTAGTGGGAAATACAGATTGATCAGTATCACCAAAATAAGTGTCATTAATAATGTAAAAGTTGTTCAGTATTGGTAACGGCATAAAGATATCCTTGAAATAGCCACAAGAGGTCAGCACTTAGCTGTTACATGTGGTGTAACAAGTCTACTCTTAGTGGAGTATTTTTCCCCAAATTGTATTCAGTTGTTAAATATCATTGCAGTGTATTGCAAATGTATTATTGTTAACAGATGAGAAGCATTTTAATAGCTGTGGTTATGTTAATGTGATATGTTTTCCTAGATCCTTTGCATTTCTCTTAAATCAGAGATACAGTTTTTTTATGAAAAAGAATATAATCTTGCCAGTTTATTTCTCCTGTAAGGATGTTTCAAATCTATGTTTATACTTTAGGTATTAGCAAAAATTCATGACATGCTCAGTGCATGCTGCATTCTCAATTTCTGTTAAAAATTTTGTAGCAGCCCTGACCGGTTTGGCTCAGTGGATAGGGCGTCGGCCTGCGGACTGAAGGGTCCCAGGTTCGATTCCGGTCAAGGGCATGTACCTTGGTTGCGGGCACATTCCCAGTAAGGTGTGTGCAAGAGGCAGCTGATCAATGTTTCTCTCTCATCGATGTTTCTAACTCTCTATCCCTCTCCCTTCCTCTCTGTAAAAAATCAATAAAATATATAAAAAAATTTTGTAGCAAATTTGATTTTTAAAAGATTTATGGAGCACTGTATTACACACAATATTTCCAACACAATTATGAAGCTGCCTAATTGGTGTTTTTATTGCTTCTACAAGATCAGGAGTTTCTTGAAGGCACCATATCTTACTCAGGTTTTAATCCCAGCTCCTTCCATAGTACTCCTTCCATAGTAAATGCTTGCTGAATATTTGTTGACCAAGTGTCTGATGAGAGGCACAAAAATGAGAGTCCATAGGGAGTCCGAGTCCTAATTTCATTAGCTTGAAGCCTTCGCCTTTGAGCAAATTATTAAACTTTGAGTCTTAATTTCTATATCTGTAAAATGAGTACAATAACAACTTCATAGGGTTGTCAAAGCATTCTAATATGTATACAATTTCTCTCACATCATAATTAATAGACATAGCTATTATCATTCATAGCAATGATCATTACTAATTATTACTAGTAATAATGGTCATGGAGAGAGAACATGTAGGGATGTATAACTGGACTTGGGGCCAACTCTGGGACTATATTGTGTGTAGGACTTTTTCTTCACTTTTCTCCCCTGTGTGCCAGCATGCGTGTATGAGTGAGATTATACAGCTTGGGCTGTCAGGGTATAGTATGGGGATTTTAAATCATCATTTTTCTCATTTTGTGACCAAGGAACCCAAACCAGAGATTGCAAATGAGATCAGACCAGGTCTGAACAAGGTGTTCCTGGGCTCAGTACACCAGACAATGCTACTGACCTTCCTGGGGTACTAGAAAACCATGTACCAAGCATTTTCTTACAGCTGCGTGTGTGTGTGTGTGTGTGTGTGTGTGTGTGTGTGTGTGTGTGAGAGAGAGAGAGAGAGAGAGAGAGAGAGAGGAGGGGGGTGGAGAGAGAGAGAAAGGGGGAGAGATTGGTTGATTCAGTGTACGTCAGTGTCCTTGTTTTTCTCACTATTCAAGAGCATGTTAGCCCTGGCCGGATAGCTCAGTTGGTTAGAGCATCGTCCTGACACACCAGGGTTATGGGTGTGATCCCCAGTCAGGGCACATACAAGGAGCAACCAATGAATGCATAAATGAGTGGAACAACAAATCAATGGCTCCAGAGAGGGCAGCGGTAGCAGCTGCAAACTTGGGTATAGTGGATAGATCGTTTAAAAAATATCATTGCTACTTGGATATGTGATTTTTGTACTAGAAATATGTGATAACTATGCATGTTCCTTTTAGAAAGTAAATTTCCTGATGCTATTTTTTTTAGTCCTCTGATGCTGTCTCAAGTATCAATAATTTTTAAAATCTATTTTTGATAGCTACCACAATATTTGAAGCTGGAAAGGACAAACGTAATCCAGATGAGTTCGCTGTGGCGCTTGACAAAACTCTTGGAGACTTTGCGTTCCCAGATGAATTTGTCTTTGATGTTTGGGGAGCCGTTGGTGATGCCAGACGAGGAGGATTATGATGTGGCTGGTCCATCACTGGAGAAATGGACCATTGTTCCTGTGTGTGTGCGTGTTTTTTTTTTTTTAAATAAACCTATAAGGTCTGTTTTTGGACACTGGTTTGGTTTTATGTGTATGGAATACATTCTTTTTTTTTGAAATATAATTTTGATTTCTGGGTACTTTTTAATGCAGATGAATATATAGGATGCTTAAGATAAATTACCTAACATTTGATCAATTTTAATATCATTTAAAAGTTATTTTTAAAGTAAATTTTAGGGAGTGTTTCTGGATAGATAATTTTGTTCCCCATTAATACCCATGTTTGGTTTTCTACATGTAAGTAGTTGATTGCAATAGCTTTGTAGTTCTTTTGCAAAATCTTAATGCTGTGAAAATTAGGCTTGGAGTATGATTTGCTTCATAGCATCTTCATTTTGTTATGTTAGCTTGAATAGGATATGTTCAGGAAATAACATGTGAATTACACCTGCTGTAGGTCTAGAAGCACTGTTTTAATTTTCAATCCACTGAGTAAGGGGAGGAGGATTTCTATAGCCTGTTGATGCCAGTGACCTACTGTCTCTCTTTGTAAAACAAGGATTGATTGACTTTTATATTTTGCTTCTTTGTAAATTGCTGCTTTGGTTCTTAAAACCTATTGTTGAAATCTACTGTGCTGTGCATTTGTTTGCATGTGTGGAAGAAGGGTGAAAAGGGCAGAGAGGGTAGAAATCACTTATACTTGATTTTTGTAAAACACTTCTTGAAACATTATTTCTTTTTCCACCCGTACCTACTTTTTATGTTACCCTTTGTAAGCACTCCAGGGAAAGTTTTTATAGTCTTTTTAGAACTTTTCTTTTGAAAGAGATGTACTCAGGAAATAACTATGTTTGAGAACACTTTTTGGGTGAAAGAGCAAGGCGTTTAAACCCCCTAAACTTTAGAGGAGATAGTGTCGGAAATAAAGGAGGAAGGGAGCATTGAGAAAATATGTTAGCCTATTATTTTAGAGTTCTAACAGACCCTCTCCAACACCTTACATTATTGAGAAAATTGAGGGCAAATGATTGTCCTATCACTTTTAGTGGACATTTTACAGAGGCAAGGGAAATGGAAATGAATGGCTTCAACTCGGATCAGTAATAAGGAAGAGCCTGGTGTGACCGAGCATTCTGCTCAAGTGTTAGATGGAAAATGCTGTGTGCTGCCATGGGAATCAGAAATCATAGCCTGTGAGGCCTGTATTCTAGGAAATCAGAAGTAGTTCCCTTTTCCTGCTGGGTTAATGATTAGATAACTCTTGTTTTCTGGTGCAACTTTACTTTTGCTGCCATCCACTCCACTTTCACATAAGTTTAATGCCATGTAGCTGATCTTCTGTGTCTCATTCATCTGAAAACTGCACAGAAGCTGTTTTAGTCATTAATGTGTAATAAAAGTAATTATAGAATGTGAATGGTCGTATTGCTCTTGCCCACCATTTGAAAATAGGATCCAGCTCAGGCTGTAATTTGTTGCTATTTGTTTCATGGTGTTTTTTTTTTTTTTTGGAAGTCCTCAAATGACTATTAATTCTTAATATCACCTCTCTTAGAAGGACACACACAAAAAAGAACTAATATTTTTAGAAATGGGGAAGTTATTGGATGATTTAGCCCATAGAAACATTTTAGTTTGAACAAGGAAATAATTTCTTGGCATAGAAGTTAGATTTGAAAATGAGTCCTTGTTTGTTATTGATGGATGTTTCTTCTTCCTTTTTGGGCATGCATGAAGATTGAAACTTGGTGCTGATTCCCTGTAATTTATGGAACCTCAAATTTACAAAGTGAGTGTGCTCACCATGATCTTTCTAGGATTTTGGTGTGTAAGGTACTGATGCCCATGTCCAGCGGTCACTGTAATTGTCAGCATCAAACGGGCAATTATCATTATTAAGAGCTTCAGCTGGGCACAGGTGCTTTAATACTAATCGATTTTTCCTTCAAATGTCTTCATCTCTCACCTCTACTGCTAAACTGATAACAGGGACAGTTTCTTTACATTGTTTTAGTCCCTTACCTGAAAATATATATATTTGTGAACTTTGTGCCTTTTGGTGACTCTCAGTGCACAAAAGGAGTACACTTTCTTTTTAGTTGTCACAGTCTGTTGCTATAATGAAACAAATCATATATGTGTGTGTGTTTTTTTTTAAAACATGCCATTTTCCCAGCTGGTGTGGCTCAGTGACTGAGCATCAACCTATGAATCAGGAGGTCACGGTTTGATACCTGGTCAGGTCACATGCACGGGTTGTAGGCTGGATCCCCATGAGGGGGCGTGCAGGAGGCAGCCAATCAATGATTCTCTCTCATCATTGATGTTTCTATCTCCCCCTCTTCCGTCCTCTCTAAAATCATAAAAATACATTAAACAAACAAACAAACAGCATGCCATTCCATTGGCACCACTAAACATTTCCAAAAGGCCTCTGTCATTTTCTCTTGTTCTGGAGTCCCTTCCTAACACCCCCCCACCCCCAGTGGAGAATGATTCTTTTATTATTGATTTCCTTCCGTGTAAAACAGCCTCTTCCAGTGGCCACTAAGAGCACACTGTATGTTTTCTTCATGGCGGAGCATGTAGATGATGATTGACCATTAGGCTCAATAGGGCCTTGAACATAGCTTGGTCCTCATCGAATGTACACACTCTGATGGTTACAAATAGGCATATTTTGTCTTTTTGTGTGATGTTTTAAAAATAAAATTACATGATTATATGTTGTGAAACTTTCAGAATTTAATTATTAAAGCAGTGATCAGTTAACTGTTTGGGGCTACTATATCCAATATCACCAAATGACTAAATAGAGAAAATTAACTAGAGATAACTTAATTTTTCCAAATGATTTTTAATTTGCAATATTTCCCCTGTAACTTTAACAAATAGATATTTCCCAAGTAAAGCATACTTTATTGAGATCCATGTTAGACCTAGGTCTAGAGAGAGCCTTCCTTAGATCTGTCAGTTATCATTGCTTACCTAGCATAGTAGCAAGATGAAGTTTATTTGCAAGTGATGTTTTCAAAATAATGGTTCTTCTAAATAGAGCACAGTTATCCACCAAAGTTGTAAAAGATTGATCATATAATGACCCTCTTACTCTCTGATACATCTAAAAATATGTGGGGACCAATAGCATTTCTGTTAGTCTGATGAAAGTATTAGGTTAGAAGCTATGAGTGAATAAAGAGGGAGGAGATGTTCTATTTATAGTCCCAAGTATTAGTGCTCTGTATAAAATGTGCATTTATTATCTTCTTGACACACATTGAAAGAGATATCAGAGTAATTACATGTCCTTACACATATGATGGTTACAAAATGTTTCTGAGATTGTGAAGTGTACAAATGGTACAGCCTGTCCCTCCCTATTTACCTGAAGACCTAATTCTAAGAAATGACTCATGGTTATTATCAATAAGGAGAGTGAAAATTGGATATGACATCTTTATTTCAATGGGAGACATTAAGTCTCTATAAGACTTAACACAGCCATAGATATTTTTGAAGCTGTACTAGAGAAAGTAATTTAAAAAATTCTGTAAGATGGGTTTAAGTAAACATTTAATATTTTTAACTGTGCCATGCAAGAGTTTTGGTTATATATAGGTAAAATATTCCACATTTTTTTGGGGGGAAAAAAGTTTTTCTCTTTTATAAAAATCATAGCATATACTTTAAAATGTTTTTCTGAGATTGAATTTTAGAAATCTATTAAGCAATACATGAAATTGTAAATTATATTTTGATATTGTTTAAAAATATATTACTGTTTTTCTACTTATCAAGGTATAAATCTTCATGTATCAATCAAAAGTAAATTACTTGTAAAGCTATAATAATTTTATATTTTGTATATTTAGAATGACTTCTTAAAATAAAAACCTTTTCATTAAAAATGTGATAAGTCGCTGAAACCGGTTTGGCTCAGTGGATAGAGCGTCAGCCTGCGGACTGAAAGGTCCCGGGTTTGATTCCGGTCAAGGGCATGTACCTGGGTTGCGGGCACACCCCCCGTGGTGGATGTGCAGGAGGCAGCTGATTGATGGTTCTCTCTCATCGATGTTTCTAACTCTCTATCTCTCTCCCTTTGTCTCTGTAAGAAATCAATAAAATATATTTTAAAAAAAATAAAAATGTGATAAGTGTTTTTAACATGAAAAAAATAAAGATTTGAGGTTTTAAATATTAGACCTTTTAGTTTTGTTTAAATAAATGATGGGAATAACATCAGGCCTCTGATTGTTCAGATTTTTGGGTTTTTAATGTTTGGTATATTTCTTTCTCAGCTTATTTTGTACGAGGCATAACTTCTAAGGTCTCTTAGTTTTGAAATCCCCCAATTTTTGCTTTGATTCAATGAAAATACATGAGATATACATTGCCACAGTCCTTCAGGATAAAATAGTCATAAGCTGTTTCTGTTATGAGATGGAGGTTTAGCCAGGGTGACATTTCCCCCTTTGCTCAACCAGTTTTATGGCAGTAGTTTCCAAAAAATAACTGCCCTCCCCTGCTGGCCTGGTCTCCCCTAACTACCCTCCCCTGAAGGCCTGGTCGCCCCCAACTGCCCTCCTTTGCAGGCCCACTCACCTCCATTTTCCCTTCCCTGCCAGCCTGATCGCCCACAACCGCCCTCCCCTGCTGGCCATCTTGTGGTGGCCATCTTTGACCACATGGGGGTGGCCATCTTGTGCGAGGGCATGGCAGTCAATTTGCATATTACCTCTTTATTATATAGGATCTGTTACAGAAGACCGGAGAAGAACCAAGCAACACTTTAGAAAGGTGGAGGTCCACTTTATTATATGCTAGCGGACTCAGAGAAAAATGTCTTTTCAAATTCTGAGCAGAGCAAAAGCAGAAGTTTTCTTTTTATTAAAGAACCAGCCCTATGTGTGCTTAGTAGTTATCTTGCTGGAAGCTTGTGGCCTTGAAAACACATTTCTATCCAATTAAAGAATACATCTGGCATGGCATGAGAGTATGGGTGTATCTAGTCTCTGGCCT